GAAGTCATTAGCACGTTGCTATTTCTATAATCAACGATTTCCTCTTACTGCCTCTGCTCACAGGGGCACAGCTGCTACTAAGCAGAAAATCAGGAACAGGCTATTTGGCTATGTGTGCACACCAACTGCCCAACGCTAGCTTGTGGGGTCAGTAGCCTCCCGACTTGTAAAGAAAATCATGTGTTAGCCAGCTTCCTGCAAAGCATCTAGCACAACAGCCACGGCTCTTATTTGAGGCTCTACGACCCGACCCTCCGGGGGAGAACTGCAAGGCAGAGCGATTAATGCAAATGGTTGGACTCCCCTTCCACAGCTTTGCTATCCTGAGAACAGGGCAGCAGATGAGCTGGAGGATGAATCACAGTGGATACGTTAGTTTCCTGGAATTAAACCAGACATAGATACTGGATTACAATTCTGTGCACATTACTGGCCTCCAGCTAGGCTAAGGAGGAATACTTGTCCCAAACGGGCCACCACACAGGAGCAGAAGTGAGGAACAGCGCAAACTCTTTATTCTACCGATAGCAAAAGCAGTTTAAGGAGGCCATTAAGCAGGTCTGGGAGATGGAGAGGAGATCAGGCAGACCCAGCCAGCAGTGTGTACTGACACCCCTCCTTTGCTCAGGGGCACCCCCCCAGGCAACGGGCACTCTGGCCCGTCCCATACCCTTCCTAGCCACAGCGTACTGGGAAGACGAGGAGCTGTGGGAAGCCAGTCAGCGACGGGTGCCAGCACTCTGAGCAGTGACACCCTGGCTGTCCTCTCCCATCTGCTGACCTGCCATCTGCACCAAAGTCCAGCCTCAGCCCTTCCCACTCCATCCGGCTTCTGCTGTGACAGCGGTGCTGTACGGCTGCAGCTCCTTGTGTGTGTTCAGATGACACGACCGCTGTGACAGACGAGTGTTTCCAGTGTAAAAGCCCAGCTCACAGACTTTTCTAGCTCCGCTTTAGCCAGATGAATCCAGAGGTAGCTTTACCCCAGGGGCTAGGGAGAGGCTGAGAAATCCACCCACATGTCTTATCTGCATTTGTAGAGCATCCAACACCGTCGTATCAAAAGCATCACGAATTCAGAGGACATGCTCAGACAGTCACCAAGGGTGACAGCCCCTTAGCTGAGGTGTAGAAACCAACTTGCATGCTTTTATTTTGCATTTAAAATGGTTTACCCCGAACCGGTGAGCAATGCTATTACGTTTCACCTGACATTTGTAACAGACTGGGAACACAATGTTTTGAGTTTCTGCTCCTCCTTCAAAGGAACCCACTGTTGGCAGCACACTAACTTGCTCACTTCTGATTGCCTGACCATGTCCCAAGACCAGCATTTTCCAAGCAAAGAATCCAACCCATACCCTAGTAGAGATGTGCAAAAACTGCTTATGTCTGAATCAGTGAGATGTTAAATTCAAACATTTGCAGTGCAACTGTAACAGGGCACATCTGAAATGAACAGACCTAACTACATCCTCCTGTGACAGCTCGACGTACTACAAAAAACGGCAGAGTCATTTTGTTCTCACTGCTTAATTTCAATTGATACTCACCATAAACAATATCGTGTTTATTCTGGTTACTTCAGTTAATTGTTAATTCACTGGTAGCCATAAAACATCAAAGAGGGGTTTAAAAAAAATTGGAAAAAGTTTATTAGGCAAGGATAAGAAAAACTCCCCTGAACTTCAAAATCTGTCTCCCCAGTCATGGCAGTTCAAACTCAGATGTTCTCAGCTTTATGTTTTACACAGGAGATGACATTCGGATGTCACTGGAATTGCATCAGCTGGTAAGTGGACTTACCACAAAACACTTTCCCTCAGCTGAGCTGTAGTTACAGTGTCCAAAACATAGTGAGTAAATGGTTACGTCCTTGAGAATGTGTCGTCATTGGGAATACGATGGCGTTAACACCACCCACACTTGCACTGGGACCATTCCCACGGTACTGCTCAAGGGAGACACAGGGTCTTTGCCTGCAGGGAATGTCACTGGCCAAGTTAATGTTTAAGAGCTAACTTTCTAATGCGAGTCTTACAAACCACAAAGAATTGAATTAATCATGGGAGGACTGCCAAACCACCATAACTTTCTTTCAAGCATATTCTTATTTCTGTTTGGAGAATAACAGATGACAGAAATCACAAGTGAACTTCCCTTTGGTCACCAAATATCTGCCTGACTTTTTTCTATGTATAATACTTCCAATGGCCTTTACAGAAAAATATGAGGCAATTCTCTCATTTGTTTCTGTTCGTCAGTAGTTCCCAACATGCTAGTATCTCAGTACTGCCTGCTCCTCTCACAAAAATGATTAAAATACCAAAGACTTCCTAACCTCTCAGACAGTAGTAGACATATCTGGTTTGGCCCCTGCAACTATCAGAAATCCACATGGTGTCCTTAGCAAAATAGTTTTGTGTTGCCCTAAAATCACATTCAGAAACTGACGATCTGATGGCAGTTTTTAATTAAGTTGTGCCTTATTTCTGTTAGCAACCTCCAATACTACAGTAGCTACAGCCTAGTGTGTGTCCCCCTTGAAGACAGAGATCTGCAGCCATTCACACCTTCACTGCTGAGATGCAGTCTCACGTCCCCCACTGCTGCAGTCAGAACCTGTGGGCTAGAGAGGACCCCCTAGAAAATACTGTAAAAATTATAATCCCTGCTATTCACTGAGGGCAGTAACTGTTGTGGCAGCACAGGGGAGCTTGCAGAGCCCACCCTTAGTAACTAACGGTGTGGATAACAGCACCTGCTAAGAATGTGAGTACAAACTCCGTGTGTGCACCCACATGCATCTGGATCAAATACACCTAACTGGGCATTTGCTCCAAACCGCTTATGTTTGTTAAAGCAGAAGCAACCACCAGACAGATCAAACAGTAACTGGGGATTTAGAGAGACTTGGAGAAAAAAAATGACCCAGCTTGAACAGAAGTATAAAAGAAGCACGACCGCCAGTTAACAACGTCATTAGTAAGTCAACATAGTGCTTTGGTCCTGATTTGGTTTAAATTGTAGAAACTGAGCAGTTTTCTCCCGTGACAGTCTGCTGAGCTTCTGCTACTCCTTCCCTCTGTTGAAAATGAAGCACTGTCTCATGTCCAGCTTGTGGCACGGGAAAGAGAAGGCCCTGTAGGATCTAGGGATGTGTCCCGGGCTGTGCTGCAGAGAAGCCAACTCCGCAACGTTCTCCAGGTCTAGAGGAAAGGGCTCTCCTCTACTCTCAGCAGAGAAGCGGCAAATGAGAGGGGACATGTATCAGAGGGAGGAAATGGTTATAATTATTCTCTGGCAGCATCCACACAGCTTCCAAGCTCTCCTGATTGTACACAGGCATATAAATTTGTTTGCTGCTAAGTTCTCATCTGGACCTAACGAACCATGTGCAACCTTCAGGGCAAGTTAGGGGACAGGTCACTCCAAAAGAAGTTAGGCACCATGGACACGGCTGTGCCAAACCTGGCTTGCTATGCCCTGCACAATGCGTCCGTGCTATCTCAGCACACACCCTTGTGCTGTGCCCCAAAGACATACCAAAGCAACCAAGCAACCACCACACCTCTTCCATTGAGTTACAAAAATAGAACTCCCTCAAACAACTGAGCAGGCCTCTTGTTATCCTAGAAACAGGCCAAAATCCCAGCATTCCCCCTCAGGAATAATAATCTGGGGTTGGAACAGCTCAAAGCCTGTCTTCCTGCTCGTATGGCCCTGTATGTGCCTGGATATTCCTGTACCAACAAGCAATGCTGCTTTCAACCAAACGACTGAAGAAGGGCTGCCCAATGGTGGTCAGTGCCTAGGCGAGCCTCCTGGGATGCCACACAGCCGCACAAAGACAGGCCAGTGCAGGCTCAGCCACGGCATGCACGGCCTCAGGAGGGAGTGATGGGGGCTGCCTGGGGTGTCCCACCAGCACCACTGCTCCAGATGTGGCCATGGTGAATTTATGACCTGAACTGGTGCCCACCAATTGGGGAGAGTTGGGAATGGCAAGACTCCAGAAAGCACTGGTAGTCCTCTCCCCCTGCCAGTTCCCTGCCAAAAGCATTGAACTTGGCCTTGCAAGCTCTGTACCTGCTGCTGTGTCTCACAGGTGTCTGTCCCAGCTGGGGCCCACAGCAGGTACCAGGTTCAGCATCCCCTCTCCAGCTCTGGTAAACAACTGCAAGGGCAACCTCCCTGGATAACACGATCAGCCTGAACTGACAGTCTACATCGCCAAGCCTGGCCTGGTTGTCTAAGCCCAAACATCTGGAAAATGTAATGCTTCTATCTAATACAACACTCCCCAGGGACCTGCCCTTTGCCTGCTCCCAGCTGAGAGAACGCAGCAGACTGACAGACGAGCCAGAGATGACACCAAAAGGCTGTCTGACAAACAGAAGCCGCAAACACAGCAGTGGTGAGCAACACGTCACTGCAGCAGTGCTGGGCAAAGGCTGCCTGTGCATCCTGAGCGTGGCTCCTTCGAAGGGCCCGCTGCCACACGTCCTCCACGGGCGAGGTGAGCACATGCATGGTGTATCTTGGGTGAGAAAAGCATAAAGACAAGAGAGGCAAAGATCTCTGGTCTTATGCTGTGTCAGGAATCACTG